CTTGAAAACTGAGTTTTTTCATCATAGTATCTTTACAAAAGTGACTTGCGCATATCTACTGCAGAAATAATTAAGCACTTTTTAACCCAGAAGATGGGACAATATTCCACATTATTGATTGTTCAGGGGTACCGTTGTAAATCGGGCATTACCATCTTTTCATGAAGGGACACTTGAAATTACACTTTTTAAACATTAAATAATATCAATTTAACCTTCTGATTCAAACTCCCCCCCCCCCCATCCCTCTTACAAGAATAAACCCTCCCCCCTTTTCAAGCGAGCTGGCTAATTGAAAATTATAACCCCTGGTTATAAACTGCAAATATATACACACGACTGAATATCTAATTTTAAACTAATTCTATTATTTTTACTACACACGATGAATTAGTTCAAACTTAACACTTCAATGTTAAAAATAACGTTTTTAAACAAAAATCTTTAAAGAAATAAACTAGGCTTTTGCAACAAACTCAAATTATCTTTTCAACCTCATGGTGTAAACACTTAGTTTTAATTATTAAAGGTCTACGACATTGTATTGCAAATTTTTTTCATCATTTTAATCAAAATTGATGAGAAATTAAAAATTGAATTTGCGCTTTTGCTGAACAAACATGCCCCGTAAAAAGTTAGGTATCGAATGATTCCTAAAAAATTTCTCCACAATACTACATTCTCAGTTCAACTACAATACATTGCCGGTCACTCCCTTGCCGTGTCAAAAAATCGTTCCTTATCAAAGTTTAAGTTTTAAACTGTCAATATTTGATTTCCCACATTTAAAGAATTGAATGCCTGATTTACAATCCCTTTCAACTTGTATCTAGAAAGTGTAAACATTGACAATTTCATTCTTTGACGTCTTGAATCAGCAACTTACTTATTATACATACATACTACTGTCTTTTTAAGAAAACTGTCTATTTAAGAAAACTGTCTTTTAAAGAAAACTGTCTTTTTAACAAAAAGTTTAGAATTTTCATATTTCCCATGAGTTTTTTCCGGCGTTTAGTAATATAAAATTTTATAGACTTGAGATCAATGAGGTGTATGTATAGAATGTCGAATGAATACAAAGTTTAATGGTTTAGAAAATTGTGTGTCAACATCAACCTTTAATCTACACTTGGCAATTTCATCTTTTAGATACAGGGGGACCCATAAAGGATGAGACTTTAAAGGGACTGTAAGCAAAATTTCAAAAGGCCCCCCATGCAAATATGCATAACGGTACCCTTAAAACCTTTTTTTTTTCAATAATGTGGAAGATATTGTCGTTTATCTTGGTATACAATTTTTATTTCTAATAATTCCTACATATTGTTTTCTGCAGTGCAAATGCGCAAGTCACCTTTGTATAGAAAATTACCAGTTTGTATAAACTTTCTTAACAAATTCAAACTTCATCAGACAAAGCTTTTAACCCTATTCCTGCTGGGGGGGGGTCAATTTGACCCCCCCCCCCTGCAGTTTTTTTTACATAACTCAAAAAGTATTGGTCTGAGACTGTTGAAATTTTCTGACTTTTCTTACATACCCAAAGCCCTCCCTTTAGTCCTCATGCACACTGCCTGAATGACTGTTTTTACCTGTAACAAACTAAATCTTTGTTTTGACCCACTTTCACTTGTCAGATTTTGATAAAATTTAGCTTTTTGGAAAGCCTATGACATAAGGAAACGAATTGCAAAAGTTTTGCGAGAAAAAAAATTGCAAATTTTTTGCAAACAACCTGTCAAAGGAAATTTGAACATTTTTAGTTTTTCTTAATTAAAAATCAGGTTATTTAAAATTTTGCAAAATTTTTTGCATATTTGAAATGGCATGGTAAAGGGCTGTTCAAAACTGTATAATTTTTCATTTTTTGGAAAAATTTTTTTTGCAAACATTTTACTATATAACTGGATTTTGCGATAAAAAATTCAATTTTTGCAAATTTGTAAATATTTTTGCAGATTCTAAAAGTAGAGCACAAGAGCTTTCCAATGATGTTTGTTTTGTCATTTTTGGACATCTAACATGGGGTTTGGGGGGGGGGGGGGTCATTTTGCCCCCCCCCCCAGCATATCCTGCAGTTTTCAATTACCCCAGCAGGGATAGGGTTAAAGGTAATGTTGTAAATCGGACATTGCAAATTTTGATGTAAGGTTACTTGAAATTATGCTTACAGTCCCTTTAATAACCCGACCTCAAGTAAAGATACAAAGCTTTATTGAATAAAGTGTTTATTCAATTTAAAGAGAATTTTTATTCCACACTTTTGCTCACAATTTCATGATTTTTGGTATCAAAAGTTTATTATTTGTTCCAAAATAAGTAATATTTTATACCAGCAAAGCATTGAATAAATTTGTATATCCAACTGTCTTGTGTTAATATTTGGGAAATTATAATTTTTGATTATGATTTTTACTTTTTCGTTTGTTTTCGGTTTAAATTCAAGATTTTCAATTACACACTACGTTCGTGATTCAAAAGAAATTGCAAAAAGAAGTTGAGAATTGTAAATCTGTTTGGAAACCGTAAATGTAAATTGTAAATCTGTTTGGAAACCGTAAATGTAAATTGTAAATCTGTTTGGAAACCGTAAATGTAAATTGTAAATCTGTTTGGAAACCGTAAATGTAAATTGTAAATCTGTTTGGAAACCGTAAATCTAATTGGAAATCTGTTTGGAAACCGTAAATGTAAATTGTAAATCTGTTTGGAAACCGTAAATGTAAATTGTAAATCTGTTTGGAAACCGTAAATGTAAATTGTAAATCTTTTTGGAAACCTTAAATGTAAATTGTAAATCTGTTTGGAAACCGTAAATGTAAATTGTAAATCTGTTTGGAAACCGTAAATGTAAATTTAAAGAATGACACAATTTCAAAGAGTCGTCTCTGAAGTACCATCCTTTAGGAATATAACCCTATATCCAGCGAGAGGAATAAATTGTACAAATTAATTTAGCTCAACATCCACCGGGCACCCCTTATCTATGTTCTTGCAGCTTATCTATTTTAACTTTTAAATTTTGTGTTCGATCAATTCACTGATTTGTATTCTTAAATCTGCACTTTGTTAACACAAATATGATTAAATTAAATGTTCAATAACGTTTTCAGTGGAGCTAATTTCAATTGGCAAAATTTATTGCAAACATGTTTTTTTTATTGCCAAAATTTCGTAAATCATCTGAAACTCGCATTTTATCTTCGAACCCAATTAAAAATACCAAATATTATTAATGTTTTATGGGTCAAAATTGTGTCAAAAGTGACACTTTACTGGCTTGAGTTGAGAGCCTCAAATTCAGATCTTCAAATGTGATAGTTTAAATTGACTGTTATACTTAAAGGGACTGTAAAGAAAAAATAAAAGGGGGCATAGGCTGAAACATGAGAATCTCAGGAGTTAACGATACCTATAAGACATCTATCTGATGTTCATGTCTCGAGAAATTGATATAAAACAAAGTCAAAATTATACCAAAACGTATGTATGTAAGATTTGTAGTATTTAATAGATCATATTCAAAAAATACGCAACAAATCTGAAAACAACGATATCCCATGAGGAGCCTGAGAAACTCAGGTTGGCTCCTATTTTTATTTTAATTTAATAATTTTTAATTTTTTATATATATATAGTTGATAATATTATCTATGCGTCCAGAACATGTCACCAGAACTCCAGCCAATGGCAATGCAGTATTATTGTCACGTGTCTCCGTCTGTATCACGTGACCAGTATACTGCACTGCCATTGGAAGGATTTCCGGTTACGTAATACATAATACGTTTTGGTATAATTTTGTCACAGTTTTATGCCAATTTCTCGAGATAGACATCAGATAGATGTCTTATAGGTATATTTAAATATTTAAATTTAAATATTTTAATGGACTGTAACCGTAATTTCAAATGATCCTCCACAAAAATGCCATACTAACATCTGTACCCTGGAAACCTGATTTAAAATGTTGAAGATGTTGTTGTTTTTTAAACGTTTTTAATATGAAAATGTAAACATATTTGTTTTCCTACATGCAGTAGAAATGCGCAAGTCACTTTTGTAGAAAAAAATACAATTTAAAATAATCAATTCTAAAAATGATAAACAATTATATCTAATTCATACTTGATTAGACAAAGCTTGCGAATTAGATATTGCTATCTTTGCATAAATTACCAAGTAAAGAAGGAATAACGACGACAATCATTTCCCTTCACTTCCCTTATCTATGGTTATCAGTGTACAAAATATCTAAGTTGAAAGTTTACTTAAAAAGAAAAAGCAGAATCAGAGATCAAAGCCAACTCGAATTACAAAACAATTAAATACTGAAAGTAGAGTTCTGATAAATAAACCATATCGTACACATCAGTTCATAAAGTTCTTGAAGTGAAGTGTGTGAATATACAGTGGTCCCCAGAATATAGTGCTAGTAAATAAGAAGCACGTTCTGAAAACAAGAATTACGAGGCCCCCCCCCCCCCACCTTTATTTCTTAAAAACTGACATAAAAATCTTTTTATATCATTGGATATCTTTACAATTTAGCCTTTCAACATTTTTAACATAAATACTTGATATTTTGGCTTTAACATTATCATACTCAAAGTTAAGTTTTTATTCAAAGTTTGAAATGCAATTTTAGTTAACTCATTATTATATGTCGTCCTTATATTACAGAATTATTATATGTCGTCCTTATATTACAGAATTTTAGTTAACTCATTATTATATGTCGTCCCTATATTACAGAATTTTAGTTAACTCATTATTATATGTCGTCCTTATATTACAGAATTTTAGTTAACTCATCATTATATGTCGTCCTTATATTACAGAATTATTATATGTCGTCCTTATATTACAGAATTATTATATGTCGTCCTTATATTACAGAATTTTCGAATTTTCTGACAAACCTAATGTATTAAAAATTTCTAGAAAAATTAAGAATTATAAAATAGACATACTTATTCATTCGCTTAATATTTTACAATTTCAGATTTAAATCTATCATTAATTCTGGTTTTACTATTTAAAATGATATATCTTCTGATAACCTTACTACTGATCAATATTCATTGTTACCAATCAAAACTGTATCTCATTCAAACCAAAACAGGTCAGAGGTCTTAAATCTTGTATTCTAATTCTCTTGTCGGACTTCAAATTCTCTTATAATTGTATGAAAATTTCCTCTTCTTGGATTTCACATATATCCTAAAAGTTAAGCTTACGTCTATAGATTAATTAACAATAACAAATGAAACACTAGATGTCGTTTTTTCAAGATTAGGGGTTTTTCGTTCATAATAACCCAAATGAGTTTCGCGCATGCGGCCTTGAATTACAAGACATAGATTGAGCATACGCGTAAATCCTTTAAAAGACATCATCTTGGGTTCTATCTGTTATTGTTAATTTATCTATGCTTAAATTCTTAATTTTAATTTTTAATTTAAATTTAAAAGTGTATTTTTTGGATGTCGAGTTCAGTTTAGATGGCAGATCGCTGTCCCCAACGAAAATGTGTTATAGCCTCAGATTACAAAGAACTTTGATGCATCTATAAAAGTAAAAATTCTTGTGATTTGAGTTTTTGCAATAAATATATTTGTTTCAGGCGCTGACAGTATTTTAAAAAAGGTATTTACATTTTGTCAAATATTTTCCATGAAAAGTTAAATATTTTCCATTAAAAGTTAAATATTTTCCATTAAAAGTTAAATATTTTCCATTAAAAGTTAAAAGTCCTTTTCTAATGGTAACAATGAATTGCAAGTCTTTCTTTTACTAAAAAATCCGGCCATTTTTTCATAGGTTTTATATTTTTTATTATCGTGAGAAAAAGTATTTTGTTTCTCGACATCAATGTGCAATGTCAATACCAGAAAGGGTTGACCTGTTAAAATACAAAAATTTTCCTTTCAAGGAATTTGGTCTCAAACTCATATTTTCTAATCCCTATATCTGTGGAACTTGACGGTGTAAACATTGGATATTTTCAAACTTACATTGTTTGATATTACAGAATTCATAGTTTAAAATAGTGAAGGTTAAATGTATGATAAGAAAATCAGACTATGTGGCAAAATTTCAATTCCTGTATAAAACTTCCTAAAACTTAACCCTATCTCCGCTGGGGTACTTGAAAACCAGGATACGCTGGGGGGGGGTCAATTTGACCCCCCCCTCTAAATCCCATGTTTTATGTCCAAATATGACAAATGATACATCATTAGAAAGCTCTTGTGCTCTACTTTTAGAATCTGCAAAAAAATTTGCAAATTTGCGAAAATTGAATTTTTTATCGCAAAATCCAGTTTTATAGTAAAAATGTTTGCAAAAAAATTTTTTTCCAAAAAATGACAAATTATACATTTTTGAAAAGCCCTTGACCATGCCATTTCAAATATGCAAAAAATTTTGCAAAATTTCAAATAACCTGATTTTTAATCAAGAAAAACTAAAAATGTGCAAATTTCCTTTCACAGGTTGTTTGCAAAAAATTTGCAATTTTTTTTCCGCAAAACTTGTGCAATCCGTTTCCTTATGTCATAGGCTTTCCAAAAAGCTAAATTTTATCAAAATCTGACAAGTGAAAGTGGGTCAAAACAAAGATTTAGTTTGCTACAGGCAAGAGCAGTCATTCAGGCAGTGTGCCTGAGGACACAGGCAGTTAGTATTAAAGCCCGGTTTTAGGCCTAAAGGGAGGGCTTTGGGTATGTAAGAAAAGTCAGAAAATTTCAACAGCCTCAGACCAATACTTTTTGAGTTATGTAAAAAAAACTACAGGGGGGGGTCAAATTGACCCCCCCCCCCAGCGGGAATAGGGTTAATAATCTACAAATCTAATTATTGAATTACAATGCATGCAAAAACAAGTCTAGCAGATAAATAATAAAAATCAACTAAGATTATCATAGAAGAGTAGGGAGGGGCAGCCGTAGTACATTTGAATTTCCAAGCCGGGTCAACCTTTCCGGTCCCAGTTTGTACTGTACCTAGCTATATAAACAAGACTAGCCGGTGCAACAAGGTTGACGTGGTCAGACTTTATGCTTGATTGAATTTACTTTCACTAAAGGGGCAGATTTGCGTGTAGGGAGGGGTGCCTAGGCAGCCTAGATTTAAATTAATGATAGTTTAAAAAAACTTTAATTTCTTTATTCAATTTTGATGGAATTTATCACACCTAATATTTCCCGTTATTAAAAATCCCGGCAAAAACTTTTTCGCACTTAATAATACCCATAAATAGATATTATACAATTTTAGGAAAGTAACACGAAACATTTAAGTTTCCAAGTTGAAGACCCTGATACTGAATATTCACGGGTGGACATCATTGGTAACCCAACACTTAATGGACAAAATAAACTAAATGGAAAAACTGGAGAAATTGGAGAAACTGGAAAAATTGGAGAAAAAGGAGAAGATTATTGTTTTTCTCCATCCCTGTGTTTCGGGTTTGGGAAAAAGTAAATAAAATTTTAAATCGAATATCATTTTCAGATTTTATTTTAACAATTTCTACTTAATTATAAACCATTTGATGTAGATTTATTACAAAGTTCAGAGGGGGTAAACACCTCATGATTATAATAAGATCATAAGCACATAAAAAGGTATTTAAATAAGCTTAATAGTTTTACATCATTTGATTTCGAAAAATTCGCAATCTAAGAAACGTTTTGAAAAGAAATGTAACTCAAAAATTGTTTTATTGAGATTCCTTGAAACTGGCAAGTAGGTCGTGTACTCGAGTGCAATGTTTTGCAACATATTATGCCTTGACATGTTTTATCTGACAAACATAAAAACAGACATTTTTAGATTTAACTCTTTGAATTCTCTTGACACATTGATAAGAGAATTAGTCAGGCTGTCTTTGATATTAGTGAAGATAAATAGATTAATATCTATATAACTATATATCAATATATCTATCTATCTATCTATCTATCTATCTATTTATCTATTTGTCTATCTATCTATTTATTTATCTATGTTTCTATTTCTCTATTTATTTATCTATCTATTTATCTATCTATCTATCTATCTATCTATCTATCTATCTATCTATCTATCTATCTATC